CAGTCCAGTCAGATAATTTCTGAGACAGTTTTGTACTATTTATGAGGGTAGGTAATGTGGGAAATGCATTACAGTAGCAGTCCCCAACCTTTCTGGCACCAGGGACCAGTTTTGTGGAAGAAAATTTTTTCACAGATGAAGGTGGGGAGATGTTTTTTGGATGAAACTGTTTCACCTCAGATCATCAGGGATTAGATTCTCATAAGGAGCACGCAACCTAGATGTCTCACATGTGCAGTTCACAATAGGGTTCTCACCCCTAAGAAACTCTAATACCATTGCTGCTCTGACAGGAGGCAGAGCTTAGGCAGTAACATTCACTCACTTCTGCTTACCTCCTGCTGTGTGGCCTAGTTCCTAACAGGCCATGGACAGGTACCCGTCTGTAGCCCCAGAGTTGGGGACACGTGAATTAGAGGACACTCAAGTGGTGTTCAGTGCAGAATGGATGGCTTGTTTGCTGTGTGAGAAAATCCTCCACATATTTGGTCACAGAGGTATTGCATTGTGTGAATGCACAGGAAAAACATTTTGAGTTTTTCCACTCTTAGATCCCTGTTCAGTTTTGAGAAATCCAGTCACGGCAGTGTGTGGATGTTAATGCTACCCTCACCACAAGAGGGAGCTTCACTGACGTTGCTTTTCTGGAAAATGGCTCAAAGGACTTTGTTGGAGTACTTTATTTACTTATTTATTTGTTTATTTTTGAGACAAGGTCTTGCTCTGTTGCCCAGGCTGGAGTGCAGTGGTGCAGTCTCGGCTCACTGCAATCTCCGCCTCCCAGGTTCAAGCGATTCTCCTGCCTCAGCCTCCCGAGTAGCTGGCACTACAGGCGCCCGCCACCAAGCCCGGCTAATGTTTTTTGTATTTTTAGTAGAGACGGGGTTTCACCATGTTAGCCAGGATGGTCTCGATCTCCTGCCCTCGTGATCCATCCGCCTTGGCCTCCCAAAATGCTGGGATAACAGGCGTGAGCCACTGCACCCGGCCTACATGACTTAACTTTTGTACCTTGTTTTTTTTTTTTTTTTTTTTTTTTTGAGGCGGAGTCTTGCTCTGTAGCCCGGGCTGGACTGCAGTGGCCGGATCTCAGCTCACTGCAAGCTCCGCCTCCCGGGTTTATGCCATTCTCCTGCCTCAGCCTCCGGAGTAGCTGGGACTACAGGCGCCCGCCACCTCGCCCGGCTAGTTTTTTGTATTTTTTAGTAGAGACGGGGTTTCACCGTGTTAGTCAGGATGGTCTCGATCTCCTGACCTCGTGATCCGCCCGTCTCGGCCTCCCAAAGTGCTGGGATTACAGGCTTGAGCCACCGCGCCCGGCTACTTTTGTACCTTGTTAAACAGAGAGCAATCAACCCTGTGAACCTTATGTTCCAGATTCTGACAAGTGCGTGGAAAAGATTCTATACACTAAATGAAATAGGAGTAATGGGTGAGAGAGTGTGCCCTTCAGTTTCAAGTTGGGGTCGGGGGGGAAAAAGAAAACAGTGTCTTGAAGTGGTGACATTTGTAATGAGATCTGAAATGATGTATTAGTATATGAAGTCCGGGGAGAGAATTCTGGAAAGATGGCAGAATAGGAAGTATCAAGCAGAAACTATAGAAAGCCATTTTTGTGAACTGAGTTCCTCTACTGGGCTCTCAGAAACCAGACCTACCCCAGTGATTAGGAAATTACACCTAGGCAATCGTCTTTGCCTCATACATTACAAAGAATGTTCAGTAAACAATGGCTTGATAAATGAGCACAGTCCAATCTTTGTGTAAGCCAGTGCAGAGATGTAAACAAAAGACTATCCTTGGCAAAGTTCTGTGGTCACATGATGTTTGAGGCAGTTCTGCCTATCATATGAGGGCCTTGTTGGAGTTCTTGTGTATCTCTGCCAAGAGAGTACTGCACAGTAGAGGTCATTATTGCAACTTCTGTGCCATTTATTTATTTTGAGACACAGTCTTGTTCTTTCTCCAGGCTGGAGTGCAGTGGCACAATCTCAGCCCACTGCACTCTCTGCCTCCCAGGTTCAAGGGATTCCTCTGCCTCAGCCTCCTGAGTAGCTGGGATTACAGGCGTGTGCCACCACGCCTGGTTACTTTTTTGTATTTTAGTAGAGACGGGGTTTCACCATGTTGTCCAGGATGGTCTCAATCTCCTGACCTCATGATCCACCCACCTTGGCCTCCCAAAGTGCCGGGATTACAGGCATGAGCCACTGCGCCCAGCCATTTCTGTGCCATTTAATTGTTCACCAGTTGCCACAGGTCTATCTGTGTACACCTGAGTTGCTTGAGTGGTTCTCAACAAATGAATTTAACTTTCATTGTGGTGTTGAATTTTTGTGTATACCTTTTATTAATTATTTTGACCATGGGCTGACCAATATCATGAGTAAAAGATTTAAAAGGCCTAGAGGAGTCAGGCATGTTGGCTCATGCCTGTAATCCCAGCACTTTGGGAGGCTGAGGCAGACAGACAGATCACCTGAGGCCAGGAATTTGAGACCAGTCTGGCCAACATGGTGAAACCCCAATTCTACAAAAAACACAGAAATTAACTGGGCATGGTGATGCTCGTCTGTAGTGCTAGCTACTTGGGAGGTTGTGACATGAGACTTACTTGAACCTGGAAGCAGAGGTTGCAGTGAGCCGAGATCGTGCCACTGCAATTCAGCCTAGGCAACAGAGCGACACTCCATCTCAAAAAAAAAAAAAAGAAAAAAACGCCTATAGGTAGGAAGCAAAATGTAAATAATGAGAAAAACATATATCTTAGGTTCACATTTGAAATATGTAATTTTGGCTGGGCGCGGTGGCTCAAGCCTGTAATCCCAGCACTTTGGGAGGCCGAGACAAGTGGATCATGAGGTCAGGAGATCGAGACCATCCTGGCTAACACGGTGAAACCCCGTCTCTACTAAAATATACAAAAAACTAGCCGGGCGAGGTGGCAGGCACCTGTAGTCTCAGCTACTTGGGAGGCTGAGGCAGAAGAATGGCGTAAACTCGGGAGGCGAAGCTTGCAGTGAGCTGAGATCTGGCCACTGCACTCTGGCCTGGGCGACAGAGCGAGACGCCGTCTCAAAAAAAAAAAAAAAAAAATGTAATTTTAAGAAAATTTGGTGATGCTACAAATAAACTGAGGATTGTAATTATAAAATTACAAGTTTTTCCTGAGAAAAAACACATTTTCAACCTAAGTACATTGATCTTAAAAGGATTTTTTCCTTTGCTTTTTGACCTTGCCTTGTGAAAAAGTGCAAAAATAAGACACGAATAGTTAAAATAAGAATTTTTGGGCAGGCATGGTGGCTCACGTCTGTAATCCCAGCACTTTGGGAGGCCAAGGCAGGTGGATCACATGAGGTCAGGAGTTTCAGACCAGCCTGGCCAACACGGTGAAACCCTGTCTCTACTAAAAATACAAAAAATTGGCCAGACGCGGTGGCTCAAGCCTGTAATCCCAGCACTTTGGGAGGCCGAGGCAGATCACGAGGTCAGGAGATGGAGACTATCCTGGCTAACACAGTGAGACCCCATCTCTACTAAAAATACAAAAAAAATTAGCCAGGCGTGGTGGTGGGCGCCTGTAGTCCCAGCTACTCGGGAGGCTGAGGCAGGAGAATGGCGTGAATCTGGGAGGCAGAGCTTGCAGTGAGCCGAGATCGCACCACTGCACTCCAGCCTGGGCAACAGAGCAAGACTCCATCTCAAAAAAAAAAAAAAAATTAGCCAGGTGTGGTGGTGGGTGCCTGTGATTCCAGCTACTTGGGAGGCTGAGGCAGGAGAATCACTTGACCTCAGGAGGCAGAGGTTGCGGTGTCCTCCAGCCTGGGTGATAGAGTGAGACTCTGTCTCAAAAAAAAATCGTGTCTCACAAATCAAGGTATTTTCCATATATCATCACACATAGTTAAGGTTTGGTCAGTCAGTGATTGCTTCTGTCTGCTGGGACCTCGGATTTTTACTCTAGGGAGACTCAAATAAGCTTTTGTGAAGAGAAGCACCCATGACGCCTTAAAGGAAATGATTGGATTGTTCCATGCATGACTTTTCCATGATGTCATTAGCTTCACAGTATTAGCATAAGGGGGTTCCTAACAAGTTTGCATGAACAGCATGTTACCAGAGAAAGAAAGACTTGATTGGAATAGTGATGCTGACTTTGTTCCTTACTGGACAGGAAATTCAGTTTTCAAAAACATATAGGCACCATAGGACTCAAGGTGATTTTCTTTTTTTGAGATGAAGTGTCGCCCTGTCACCCAGGCTGGACTGCAGTGGCGCGATCTCGGCTCACTGCAAGCTCTGCCTCCTGGGTTCACGCCATTCTGCTGCCTCGGCCTCCTAAGTAGCTGGGACTACAGGCGCCCGCCACCAGGCCCGGCTAATTTTATGTATTTTTTAGTAGAGACGGGGTTTCACCTTGTTAGCCAGGATGGTCTTGATCTCCTGACCTCGTGATCCGCCCGCCTTGGCCTCCCAAAGTGCTGGGATTACAGGCGTGAGCCACCGCGCCCGGCTAAGGTGATTTTTTAAACAAAAGTACTAGCTGATTGCGGCGGCTCATGTCTATAATCCCAGCACTTGGGGAGATGGAGACAGGAGAATCACATGATCCAGGGGTCAATGACCAGCCTGGGAAACAGGGAGACTCCATCTCTACAAAAAATAAATAAAATCATAGTATATACTTTGATAAGAAGTGAATTTATATATTTTAACTGAGGTATGTTATGGTTAACAATGTCCATAAATTATAGGGAATATGTCAGGATTTAGAGAATAGTATGGCAAAAACCAGTCCAGAAGTCTGATGGCTGGCCTTCCGTCACCAGAAGGCCGAGTCTTTTGCCCCTGAACAGGCACATGTCATACACCTGCAACGCGAGATGATGCTCCTCAGTGACCATGATGGATCAATACAAAAATAACTCATTCTTTAACCATGTCTCAAAATGTGACAGAAGAAAACACTTTAAATCACAAAGATACCCCAAATTTTGCTCTTCTCATGAATGTGACTACCTTGTAATTCTCATACATCTCACAGTCATCTATGGCTTTTGGTCATATTCATTACTACAGTATGTTACACCCTCTTTGACGACAGTTATGCCACTGGTGGTCTTTGGTCAGTAGTCACTGAAGAACATGAGATGACCTTTGGTGTTTAGAATAAATGAAAAGTCATGATCCAGATAAAAACTAAGAATATAAGCATGAAAAGTAAAATCTACATGAAGAAAAATATGCCTGACATCCACATGGCAACACTGACTCACAGTGTCCACGGGATAACATGGCAACACTATCAACTTGATCTAATACATGATGCTAATGGGATGTTGTAATATAGCTTCTTAATTAAAAAATAATTGTTAGTATGCAGTTGTTATAAACAGTTAATAAGCTTATTTCTAAAATACATGAACAAAAGTCTTTGTTGCCAAGAAACCACGATAGTGTTTTTAGTCAGGTATACTCATACAAAGTTAAAAATGAAGTGAGACATTACATTCAGTTGTGATATGTTTCCTGATAAGAGCAAGGTGGCTCTTCTCACATAAAAGCCCTTGGTGACACCAATCACTGCACAATGCAGCAGAGGAACAAGCTCCCATCTAGTTGGTTTAATCAAGAACAAGGTCACTATCCGTAGAAACAACAATGCTTGCAACACAAAGTAGACCTCTTAAACCAACTCAATCTATAGAGGAGTTGGGCATCAGGGAGTATTTCCAGCCATGACAACATTTATTAGTTCTCTGGTAAACATTTTAACATTTCTGAAGAAATAGCAAAGCGGGCATGTATCTTTAATGTGGAGCACCTGGGGACATCTCTGGAGACCTATAGCTCTGAGGAACAGAGACAAGTGATTTGGGGGATACTCTCGGTTAACAAGTGAAAGAATCAGGAAAATGGGCTGGAAGCAGGTAGCCACACACCTCTCTCCTGTGTGGTGCCTCTAATGTGTGACTGATGCCTTCCTTGTCTGTGCCTTTGAAATCTCATGCAAGATTGGCTATAGGTGAATTGTATTATGGAACCATCCAAGTCCTTCTAGATGTTATTGTCCTTTTGCAGGTCTCTCTTCTCAATTCAAAAGGCAGTTATCCAGAGATCCTTTCACCACTCTCTTTTCTCGTGTTTCAAAGGAAGTGGGACAATAGAAAGCTTCTCCTATTTCTTCCACTAACAGGATTTCTCATATATTAATGGTATGAGTTCTTTCATGTTCTCGACATGAACTGGCACGAATAAAGGCTTTGCCACAGTGCTTGCATTGATAGGGTTTCTCTCCAGTGTGAGTCCTTTCATGATATCGAATCCTTTCATGATATCGAATGTAATTGGAAATAAAGGCCTTACCACAGTGCTTACATTGATAGGGTTTCTCTCCAGTGTGAGTCCTTTCATGATATCGAATGGAACTGGAACAAGTGAAGGCTTTGCCACAGACCTTACACACATATGGCTTATCTCCAGTGTGTGTCCTTTCATGTATATGCAAGGAAGAGAAATACCTGAATGCTTTTCCGCATTGCTTACATTCATGGGGCTTCTCTCCAGTGTGCGTCCTTTCATGTATATGCAAGGAAGAAAAATACTTGAATACTTTTCCACATTCCTTACATTCATGGGGCTTCTCTCCACTGTGCATCCTTTCATGAATTTGAAGTTGTGAAGCACATCTAAAGCCTTTACCACACTGCTTACATCCATAGGGTTTATCAGCAGTGTGTGTCTTTTCATGCCTTTGAAGGTCCGAGGTACATCTGAAGGCTTTACCACATTGCCTACATTCATAGGGTTTCTCTCCAGTGTGAGTCCTTCCATGCTTTTGAAGGTGTGAGCCACATCTAAAGGCTTTCCCACACTGCTTACATTCATAGGGTTTCTCTCCAGTGTGAGTCATCTTATGATACTGAATCGAACTGAGAGAAATGAAGACTTTCCCACATTGCTTACACTCATAGGGTTTTTCTCCAGCTTGAGACCTTTTATGTCTACGAATTTCACTAGGAAAACTGAATGCATTCCCACATTCCTTACATGCATCGGCTTTCACTCCTGTGTGAGTTCTTTCATGTATTGGAAGGGTAGTGGAACGAGTAAAGGCCTTACCACACTGTTTACACTCATGTGGTTTCACAGCAGTGTGAATTCGTTCATGGATAAGACATAAACTGAGAAAAAAGAAAGCTTTCCCACAAAACTTACATTTATAAGGTCCATCTTCACGGTGCATCACCTTGTGTCTTTGAATGCATGAATGGGAAATGAAGGTTTCCGCACATTCTTTACCATCATAGGGTTTCTCTTTAGTGCAAGCTTCATCATGTGATTGAAAGGAGTCAAGATAACTGAAGGCTTTCTTACATTCCTTATTTCTATATGGATTCTCTCCATATTCCTGATACTCAGAAGACTTGTGTCCAATGTCAGCTCTGATGTGCCTATTAAGAGATGAGTGACCCACGCCAACTTCTCCACACACACTGCTTTCACACGGTATTACTTCAGGAAGAGTTTTCTTTTTCAGCATGTCATCTGCAATCTGGTCGAAGCTTTCTCCACAGTAATGACTTTCTTTGCTTTCAAAGAGTTTCTCTCTCATAAGACTTCAGTGAAAAATGAGAAGCATATTATTAACGGTTTGATTAAAAGTGACGTATAGGGCCGGGCGCAGTGGCTCACGCCTTTGAGAGGCTGAGGTGAGCGGATCACCTGAGGTCATGAGTTCGAGACCATCCTGGCCAACATGGTGAAACCCCGTCTCTACTAAAAATGCAAAAATTAGCCGGGCACGGTGGCGGGTGCCTGTAATCCCAGTTACTCGGGAGGCTGAGGTGGGAGAATCGCTTGAACCCCAGAGACAGAGGTTGCAGTGAGCTGAGATAGTGCCATTGTGCTCCAGCCTGGGTGACAAGCTCAAAACTCTGTCTCAAAAAAAAAAAAAAAAAAAGTGATCTATATTGGCTGGGTGCAGTGTGTCACGCCTGTAATCCCAGCACTATGGGAGGCTGAGGCGGGCAGATGGCTTGAGGCCAGGAGTTTGAGATCATCCTGGCCAACATGGCAAAACCCTGTCTCTACTAAAAATACAAAAATTGGCTGGGTGTGACGGCGTGCGCTTGTAATCCCAACTACTTGGGATGCTAAGGCACAAGAATACCTTGAACCCAAGCAGTGGCAGCTGCAGTGAGCTGAAACCACACCACTCCACTCCAGCCTGGGAGACAGAGCCAGACTCTTGTCTCAAAAAAGAAGAAAAAAATTATGATTTATATTCATTAACAAGTATTGCACTTGCATTTTTAACACTGCCCGGCAAAGTGTCAGCTTTCTGCTTTGTCTGAATTGTTTGAATATTAATGAACCATATGCTCTGCAAGATGGTCTGGGTATATATATTTTTTAAAAATTAGTTTTTCTATGGGGCTTCATAATCCTATCTTCAAGTAAACTATTTTACAAATACTAAACATGTGCGTCTTTTTTTTTGAGCTGGGGTCACAACTCACCCTGTTGTCCAAATTGGAGTGCAGTGATACCATCATGGCTCACTGCAGCCTCAACCTCCTGGCCTCCAGCAATCCTTTGGTCTGAACGCCCCAAAGGACTGGGATTTTGGGTATGAGCAACAGTGCTCAGCCCAGCCTATGTTACATTTAAACATATGTTTTTAGGAAAACTTTCTATGAATACATAAATTTGATACTGGGTTTATTTCTTTTGCTTTTTTTTTTTTTTTTTTTTGAGATGGAGTCTCACTCTATCGCCCAGGCTTGAGTGCAGTGGCGTGATCTCGGCTCACTGCAAGCTCCGCCTCCTGGGTTCACGCCATTCTCCTGACTCAGCCTCCTGAGTAGCTGGGACTACAGGCGCCTGCCACCACACCTGGGTAATTTTTGTATTTTTATTTTTATTTTTTATTTATTTATTTATTTTTTGAGACGGAGTCTTGCTCTGTCGCCCGGGCTGGAGTGCAGTGGCCGGATCTCAGCTCACTGCAAGCTCCGCCTCCCAGGTTTACGCCATTCTCCTGCCTCAGCCTCCCAAGTAGCTGGGACTACAGGTGCCCGCCACCTCGCCCGGCTAGTTTTTTGTATTTTTAGTAGAGATGGGGTCTCACCATGTTAGCCAGGTTGGTCTTGATCTTGTGACCTCATGATCCACTCGTCTCGGCCTCCCAAAGTGCTGGGATTACAGGCTTGAGCCACTGTGCCCGGCAATTTTTGTATTTTTAGTAGAGGCGGGATTTCACCATGTTAGCCAGGATGGTCTCGATCTCCTGACCTCGTGATCCACCTGCCTTGGCCTCCCAAAGTGCTGGGATTACAGGTGTGAGCCACCGCACCCGGCTCTTTTGCTTCTTTTTAATATTTTCTCACATTTTAAGATTTTCTAGAGGCATTGTCTTGTCTTGTGAGACAAAATTACCTTAGATGTCTCCTGGGATTTTTGTACTTATCTTCCATGTTCTGAATTTTCCATGTTTTTCCTAAAACACAGACCCAGAGAAAACACAGATCCAGAATTAGTATGAATTTATTTTAAAATAATTAGATTCTGGGCCGGGCGCGGTGGCTCAAGCCTGTAATCCCAGCACTTCGGGAGGCCGAGACGGGCGGATCACGAGGTCAGGAGATCGAGACCATCCTGGCTATCACGGTGAAACCCTGTCTCTACTAAAAATACAAAAAATTAGCCGGGCGTGGTGGCGGGCGCCTGTAGTCCCAGCTACTCGGGAGGCTGAGGCAGGAGAATGGCGTAACCCGGGAGGCGGAGCTTGCAGTGAGCTGAGATCCGGCCACTGTACTCCAGCCTGGGCAGCAGAGCGAGACTCCGTCTCAAAAAACAAAAAAAAAACAAAAATAAAATAATTAGATTCTGTATTCATGGTACATGGTAGCCATGTCTGATTTATTCATCAAAGTATTTTCTGTCCATGTTCCACATCAATGAACAGCATTGATGAGCTAGAAACATTTGTTCTCTAATTCACTGGGAAGTAATATTGTCATTCTTACCTACAGAGGTCAGGTTCTTGAAGGTTTCCTGCATAACATCCCTGTAGAGATTCTTCTGGGAAGGATCCAGCAAAGCCCATTCTTCCTGGGTGAAGCTCACAGCCACATCCTCGAAGGCCACAGAATCCTGAAACATCTCACACATGTAAAGGAGGACAGGTAAGACTAACAGCCCTGGAGGCTTATTCTTTATTCCTAAGAAGTTCCCATGATACTGTGGACTCCAAACATTTATCCCATGACTTGGTCATCACAACTCTTACTTTCTGTCTATACTCATGTTCTCCCACAAACCAAGCCTTTTTTTTGTTAAGAGAGAGGGTCTTCGGCCAGGCGCGGTGGCTCACGCCTGTAATCCAAGCACTCTGGGAGGCTGAGGCAGGCAGATCACCTGAGGTCAGGAGTTTGAGACCAGCCTGGCCAACATGGAGAAACCCTGTCTCTACTAAAAATATAAAAATCAGCCAGGCATGGTGGTGGGCACCTGTAGTCCCAGCTACTCAGGAGGCTGAGGTAGGAGAAGGGCTTGAACCCAGGAAGTAGAGGTTGCAGTGGGCCGAGACTGCATCACCGCACTCTAGCCTGGGCAACAAAGCAAGACTCCATCTCAAAAAAATAATAATAAAATCAATAGGCCAGGCTCAGTGGCTCATACCTGTAATCCCAGCACTTTGGGAGGCCGAGGCGGGTGGATCACCTGAGGTCGGGAGTTCGAGACCAACCTGACCAACATGGAGAAACCCTGTCTCTATTTAAAAAAAAAACAAAAAACACACACAGTTAGCTGGGCATGGTGGCACATGCCTGTAATCCCAGCTACTTGGGAGGCTGAGGCAGGAGAATCACTTGAACCTGGGAGGTGGAGGTTGCAGTGAGCTGAGATTGCGCCATTGCACTACAGCCTGGGCAACAAGAGCGAAACTCTGTCTTGAAAAAAAAAATAATAAAATAAAATAAATAAAATCTATACTAATAAAGAGAAAATGGTATTAACAGATAGAAAGATAAACTAATAGAAAACAGCAGATTCTGAAAACAGTGAAACCATGACAAAGCAGGTATCACCAGCCAATTATGCAAGTGGTCCTCACTTAACAGGGACAAGGACAGATGGTTATCTACAGGAGAACAAACAATCTTTGGCCCATCATCTCCACATGAATTACTTCTAGAGTTGCCTGTTATCATGAGTTCTTATGTTACCTTACCATGCATTTTCATTATGGGTTTCACTTTCTTATAATGGAAGAAACCCGCACTCAAGCCGGGTGTGGTGGCTCACACCTGTAATCCCAGCACTTTGGGAGGCCAAGGCAGGCCAATCACTTCAGGTGAGGAGTCTGGTAAAGAGTCTGGCGAATATGGTGAAACTCCCTCTCTACTAAAAAGTACAAAAATTAGCCGAGTGTGTGCGTGCCTGTAATCCCAGCTACTCGGGAGGCTGAGGCAGGAGAATCGCTTGAACCCGGGAAGCGGCAGTTGCAGTGAGTTGAGAGAACGCCACTTTACTCCAGCCTGGGCGACAAAGGAAGACTCTGTCTCAGAAAAAAAAAAGAAGAAGAAAAAGAAAGCTGCACTCGACCTCAACAGTTCCCAGTTCTCCACCTCCTCCCAGTTCCTAAATGTGCTTAACCCACATATGTGACTTACATGGCTGCCTCCTGGTGACCACTTCACTGTGGAACAGCTTCATACATCAACTTGACTTGCTCCACTTACCCTTACAACCACATGGATGGCATAGACCACTTCTTAATCAGAGGCTGACTTCACAGAACTAGCACCTGCTTGCTCTAAATCTACCAGAAACAACTCCCTGAGAGAAACCTCCTTGGACCCCAAGAAAAACTCTGGCCCAAAGGTCCCTGTCTGTCTTTCTCCCCACCTGCTGGCTGAATCTGCATCCTGGATGTTCCCCTCACTCTGTGTTACCCTGCAAGGCATGCTGCCCTCATCTCTCTGGGATTGTGAGGAATGCACTGTTATGTCATGGCTTTGTTGAGATGACTCTGCTGTGACTCACCTAACCTACACCTCTCCCTTAATAGCAACATCCAACTGGCTGACCAGCTATGTGTCTCTAAGTAATGGAAGCTGGGACTGGGGGAGAAAAACTGAGCATCCCAAGGGGTTGGCTATCTAGATGAAGAGTGTACCAGGAGTCTCCTCCCATTTGGGAAATTCAGCTGCTCCTTTGGGAGGCCCCACACCCTCCTCTGGGAGGATTGACCCAGGGGCTGATATTCAATAGGTCAGGAGGGATGGAAGCTGTGGGCATTTTGGCTCAGCCCCAGACGGTTCTGAAACCCAGGACCAGGAAAAGATAGATTGGGACTCCTGAAGACACATCACCCTGTAAAGTTTTCAAAAAGGAAACAGGCCAGGCGTGGTGGCTCACGCCTGTAATCCCAGCACTTTGGAAGGCTGAGTGGGGCAGATCATTTGAGATCAGGAGTTCAAGACCAGCCTGACCAACATGGTGAAAACCCATCTCTACTAAAAATACAAAAAAATTAGCCGGCTGTGGTGGCGCATACCTGTAAACCCAGCTGCTTGGGAGGCTGAGGGCAGGAGAATCACCTGAACCTGGGAAGCGGAGGTTGCAGTGAGCCAAGACCGCGCCACTTCACTCTAGCCTAGGCGACAGAGTGAGACTCTGTCTCAAAAAATAAAAAAACAAACAAACAAACAAAAAAGGAAACAACCCAAAGACATTCTGAGATGGTGTCTGTGCCTTACAAGATAAGAGGAGAGGAACAGGGGTTTTTCACTGGAGTATCAAGTTGTTATTCTCTATTTTCCTGTTACGTGAAATGTTCAGAAACAGAACACAAATATTTTAAAAAGAGTCATCCATGACCTTGTGAAAAGATGACAAACCACTACAATACTGCATCTATGTGAAAGAAAGGATGAAGAAATATACTATACAATAAAGAAAGTTGATACAGGAGGCTGAGGCAGGAGAATCGCTTGAACCCAGGAGGCGGAGGTTGCAATGAGGTGAGATGGTGCCATTGCATTCCAGCCTGGGCAACAAGAGTGAAACTCTGTCTCAAAAAAAAAAAAAAGAAAGTTGATAATACTGTGAGTTGGAGAAGCGGAGTTAATTTTTGGAGATGCAGGAAAGTAATTGAAAATTTAAGATGTTACTGCAAACCACTGAAGAGTTAAGTGGGGTAGCAGGGTGGAGGATTTGAGACCCTGCATCCCATAGATTAGGAAAATGCAGGAGGAAGCCAGTCCCTATAGGTAGTGTGAACAAATTTAAAGCAGCAGCAATTAGATTGAAGTGTGTTTAGTGCCATAAGTAATTACCTAAGGACACCAAAATCAAACTCAAGTTGAGGCAGGAAAATAGGGTCTGCAGGCAGGGAACATAAGGCCTATTCACACTTCAGCTATGAAAGGAAATACCCACTCCATAGGGCTTAAGCCAAGTAAATGATTTTTTTTTTTTTTGAGGCGGAGTCTTGCTCTGTCGCCCAGGCTGGAGTGCAGTGGCGTGATCTCAGCTCACTGCAAGCTCCACCTCCCGGGTTTATGCCATTCTCCTGCCTCAGCCTCCTGAGCAGCTGGGAGTACAGGCGCCCGCTACCTCGCCCGGCTAGGTTTTTGTATTTTTTAGTAGAGACGGGGTTTCACCGTGTTAGCCAGGATGGTCTTGATCTCCTGACCTCGCGATCTGCCCGTCTCGGCCTCCCAAAGTGCTAGGATTACAGGCTTGAGCCACCGCGCCCGGCCAGTAAATGATTTTATAACTTCATCCTCTCCTTTGACATAGGGCATACCCCAAATAACCAATGGAATCCTCCAGGGGGTAAACTCCCAAAAATTCTGTAACGCAGCCTTTGAGCCCCTGTGCTCAGCCCCGCTCGCACACTGTGGAGTGTTAAATCCCTTCATTCCTTCCTTGTTTTATGCGTTTTGTCCAATTCTTTGTTCAAGACGCCAAGAACCTGGACACCCTCCACCGTTAACAAAATGCAATTCTTCTTAAAGTTTTTTGGTAACAAACCAAAAGTCATGATTGGGTGTTTCTCATTCATGAATCGCTGTTTGCTCAAACTCTTTAATTTTTTTTTTTTCTTTTTTTTTTTTTTTTTTTTTTGAGACGGAGTCTCGCTCTGTCGCCCAGGTTGGAGTGCCGTGGCGCGATCTCGGCTCACTGCAACCTCGGTCGCCTGGGTTCCTGTGATTCTCTTGCCTCAGCCTCCCGAGTAGCTGGGACTACAGGCGCCCGCCACCTCACCCGGCTAATTTTTTGTATTTTTAGTAGAGACGGGGTTTCACTTTGTTAGCCAGGATGGTCTCGATCTCCTGACCTCGTGATCCGCCCGCCTCGGCCTCCCAAACTGCCGGGACTACAGGCCTGGGCCACCGCGCCCGGCCCAAACTCTTTAACTTTTAACAGAAAAAAATCCCGCAGGATTCCCGCATGACCCTCCCGTGGTCCCCGCAGAATCCGGGGCTGTGGGCGCGGAGCTGCCCAGAGAGGGCTCCGGGGTCGGGACACACAGTCGCCCGCGCAGGAACAGGACAGGACGCCCGGGGTCCTGGCTGCCGGCCCAGCCGCACCCTGCGGCCCAGGGGATGGAGGGACAGGCTGAGACAGAGGGATTCGGGTCCCAGATGCAGGAGGCGCCATGAGGAGACTCGGGTCCCGCCACAGCCGCTTCAGGCCGGTTTCACCCAGCCCCTCCCCCGTCTGGGGACTCTGGCCCCCCACACTCACCATTTCCCGGCTTCCGGGTGTCCCGGGGTCCTCTCTAGGGCTCCCGTGAATAGTGCAGGTCACAGTGCAGGCGGCAGAGAGACAGAAGTGGCGAAGGGACCCGGGCCTCTCGGACTAGGAAATCTAGTATCCCGACAACAATCTGCATAGCATCAAAAGTAGAAGCCGGAATGGGCCTCCTCCTTCCGGATGGACAGTTGGCCAGGCCCCGCCCCAGCGCTTCTGATTGCGCAAGGTGCAAGGCCCCGCCCCTCAGAACTGAGTGACGGCACAAGCCCTGGGTAACGGGCCCTGCAAAACCCGACTGATCAGTTCTAGCCATAGCTTCTCTCTAAGGGACAACTCCCTCCCTGAGCCCTGATCATTGGATATTTTTTCAGCCAAATTTGCTCCTGATTTTTAGACAGGGCACTATCTTCTTCCTCATTAAATGGGCTGTCCGTGCTTCCTCGTCCTGCACAGGGTCCTAAGTGTGTGCAGGGAATTCCAGACTCAGTGTCCAATGGAGCGATCTGCTGACCTCAGAGCAGGAAGGGGTGCCCAGCCCAGGCCAGACACGACTGCACCAGGAAGGAGAGGCAATTGTCCTTCAGGGGCCCGGAATTAGGGATGAGACATGGCCAAGGCTTTCACATATCTCACCCCACCTCACAGTGTGGAAACGCTCCCTCCTTCCAGACCTTCATCTTCATCGGCAGAAAACTCTCACTTGGTGATTTTAAGCTTCTGACCTAAATAAACTGTCAACTTCATAAGCCCCTTCTCCAGGAGAGGTCTCTGGAGAGTTCTTTCCCTGAACTTGATCTTCACAGATTTTCTTCAGATATGCAAATTAGTCTGACCCCAGGGACCCTCTGCATGTCAAACCCAAAGCACTGCTCCTGAAAACGGCCCCAGATTCCAGATGTACAGCCGCAGAAAGACAAAACCCCTGAAGTGCACCTGCACGTGGGTCTCCTGCTTTCCAGGGCGCTGCAGCGTGTCAGAACCCACACGCTTTCTGGATCTGCTCTGAGCAGCTGCAAGCCACCTGCAGGAGGGCGGCTGCCCAGGAAGCATCCAGGAGCGCTCCACTTCCCTCCTTGGCAGGATCCATACTGGCCTCAGCGTCCACTCCCTGGCGTTGGTCTCTGCTGCCCCCTGCAGGCTATTCACCTGCTTCTCACATCACCAGTTTCCATGAGACAAACATCCTCAACCCCACTGCGAGAATAACACAGGAGCAGAGCCCTCCTCCGGTGTGTATGTATAAAGTCGAGAAGGAAGCGTCTAAGATTATTTAACTGCATGACAGTGAGGCAGTAGTGGCCGGGCGCTGTGGCTCAAGCCTGTAATCCCAGCACTTTGGGAGGCCGAGGTGGGTGGATCACCTGAGATCAGGAGTTGGAGACCAGCGTGGCCAACATGGTGAAATCCCATTTCTACTAAAAATACAAAAATTAGCCGGGTGTGGTAGTGTACACCTGTAATCCCAGCTACTTGGGAGGCTGAGGCATTAGAATCGTTTGCATCAAAGAGGCTGTGGTTCCAGTGAGCCGAGATTGCACCACTGCACTCCAGCCTGGGCAATGCAGCGAGACTCCGTCTCAGAACAAAACAAAAAAACATACAAATGTTTAGTCATGTTACTTATTTCTGGTTTCCAGCCTGACTTTATAACATTCCTGACTCTGGGACTCTGTGCTCTCCAGAAATATGCTTTGAAGAAAA